AGTTTAAATGACTTAAACTTTCTTGGTTGGCCGAACTCTGGGCCACGGTTGGCCCAACGGTTGGCAAAACTATGTAAAACACAGTTTAATTGACTTAAACTTTCTTGGTTGGCCGAACTTTGGGTCACGGTTGGCCCGACGGTGGGCAAAACTTTGTGAAACACAGTTTAAATGACTTAAACTTTCTTGGTTGGCCGAACTCTGGGCCACGGTTGGCCCGACTGTTGCAGCTTAAATATACATTTTGCGTTATGCACTCCCATGTGAGCGTAGCGTAGTGGTCAGTGTATAAGTCTTCGGTGCGTTAGGTTAGGGGTTCGATCCCAGCGAGCGATAGATATTTTCGAAAATGTATGTATGAGATTGTGTTTAATAATAATAGGTAAAGGTTATATCTGATGTTCCCGCTAATAATAACGTGTTAATTGTTTAAATAATGTAGTTTTTTAATAATTTTTTACCTTTGGCTGTTGAAGTTGGCCAAACTTTGAAAATTGTGGTTGGCCCAACTTACGCATCTAAAGTTGTGCCAACTTTGGCGTCAGTCTTTGGACCAACCATTGAAATGTATAGTTGGCACAACATATGCATTGTAAGTTGGGCCAACTTCCTTATGAGTTGTCGGGCCAACCATCGTCGCCATTAGACGGTCGCCGTTATCATCTGTATGGTTGGCCCAACCTCTGGCACGAGAAGTTGGACCGACTTTGTAAAAGTTGGCCCAACTATGGGCCGACCAAAAAATCGCACCTGGGGACCCCAAAAGCCTTCGAGTAAGAAAATTTAGGCGAATTTAATTACATTTTGGTATTTTGAAAAATAGTGACCAACCCTTTCAAAGTTTCCGTCATATTTGGTCCGCCATATTTAAATTTTAAATTCTAATTTACGTTTCTTAAAACTATACAATTTTTGTGCCTCTATGGATGAGAATTGAATATTATTCACGCACGTTTAACCCCTAAGCAGTGTAGTCAAAATAAAGTTTTCGTGACACAAATGTGCTAAATTTTTTTTATTTCTTTTAATACCTGATATCATTATATTTTATGTTTTTGAGGTCGCTGAATTCAAATATTTGATCAAAATTTAAAAATTCAAAATGTCGATCAAAAATTTCAAAGTTTACGGATTTTAAATTTTTTTGTTCGCCATTTTAGAGCCGACATTTTGAATTTTTTAATTCTGACCAAAGATTTGGATTCAGCGACCTCAAAAACTTTAGAATATTCATTGATATTCATATTTCATTTATTACAGCGATATTTTCCTTTTAGATGCCGCTATAGCGGTCATATACATTGGTGGCACGAATTATTTTTGCCTCTATAGACGTCATGCACTGTAAAGGGGTTAATGGGTAAAAAATTATCAAAATTGAAAAAATGAAATTTCTTTTGTGTTTTTGAAATTAAAACAGCCATATTTAATTTCTGGGTTGAACTAAATTCTTTTTTTTACACCGGAATCGAAAAGAGCACACTCAATACCTATAAGAAACATACTTGCGGTATAAAATATTATCCGTTTTATTCATAAAACTATAGGTTGAAATTGCGCAAAGAATTTTCTTACTTTAGGTGTTAATGGGTTAATCATTAAAATAATATTATAATATTAGTGGACAGTGGGGCAAACCGACTAGGTGTCAATATCACCGAAATGGCGAAATTGTCAAAAGTGTTGATTAGAATTTCGAAACAACAATGTGTAGTATACCTTATTTTTAAACAAATATTTATTCTCAAAATGAACCTATGGGGCAAATCGGACATAGGATATTTTCATTGTATCAGAGTTTCATGAAAATTATTATTAATTAGAATTTTTTTTCATTAAAATATTGACTTCCAATGAAAAATAATTGTCTTCCAATGGAAGCGTTTAGAAATGATTTCACGCAATTTTTCGGGATTTTAGACAACCCCTCCCCCCTGTCGCGCAATTTCACATGTAAAAATACATTGTGTCACGTTTAGTAGAGACCCCCCCTACTTCCAAAAACGTTACATCATTTGTAAACGCTGCCAATGAGAATTAGACCCTTTAATATTTTTTCCATGATAAGTTCAAACATTTTTGTTTGTTATTAAAAAAATTATTTATTTAATTAAAATACAATCCTGTATTATTATTAACATTATTACAACCATTGTTCACATGATTCTTTATGTTTATTGTTATAGTAGATTATACAAATGCAATATTATAGATAAAAAACCTAACTGGTAGGTTTACCCCAGGGGGTCGGTTAAACCGGCCAGTTGGAAAAATTTTTTAAAGTTAACGCAGCAACTAAACAATGAAAGATAAAGTATAGGTGTCTCTATGAAAAAGTTGCGCAATTAAATGATCTTTCAAACAACACATCGAAAAATGAAATCGGTTGATTCATTTAGTCACAAAAGTAAAAAACCGTTAGTTATGGCTGGTTTCTTAACTGTATATTAACACCAAAGACAGCGAAATGTCATAAAAAAAATTTTCAGGGAAATTAAGAAAATTGAGACTTTTTTCGACCTACTTTAAAAAATTGTCACTTTTTCGTCTTTTCCTTCAAACTTCAAACATCAAAATACAAAAATGATATTTTAGAATTATTTTTAACATTTTGAAAAAAACATTTATATTCAAAATTTTTATCAACATTCATCAAAAAATTAATTAATTTAAAGAGAGGAACAGAATTTGATGGAGGAAGGAAAAGTGGGGAATTTCACTTTCAAAATCTAAAAACATACAAAAATAATATTTTAGAATTTTTTTAAAAAAATATTGATAAAAATGATCAAATTTTTGGAGAATTTTAATTATAAACAGGACCATAATTTCTCAAAAAATTTAAAAGTCCAAAAAGTAAATATTCATATATTTTTATTTACATTGTTCAAAGATAATTAAATCTTAAATAATTAAACGAATTAGTTTTTAAAAATATTTACGATTGTTCACAACCGGAGGCGGGGTGGGGGTCAAAAACTGGTGACAAATTGTCCATTTGGTTTATGGAACAACGATAAAATTTATACCTCTCACTCATACCTCGTTCTCGATCTTCCTCTCTTTCACTCCTTAATATATCTGTGAGTGAGAAAAGAAAAATAATTAGCCAATTAGGAAATAAGACGCCCATTTCGCATTTTGTCTTGAAAGTAAAATTCCCCACTTTTCCTTCCCCTATCAAATTCTGTTCCTCTCTTTCTACCTGACACGGAAAATGGAGAAAACATGATACCCCCTTCTAAACCCAAAAAGTGGACATTACTTTCTTAACTATTCGTCTCTCTTTCGCTCCTACTCTAAACTAAAAGGAGAGACAATACCCCTCTCTTTCTCTCTCACTGTGAACAGAATATATAAGGAAAGACTAACTTAATATATATAGATATAATAATAATATTCGCCTCTCTTTAGCTCCTACTCTAAACTAAAAGGACAGGCGATACTTCCCTCTCTTTCTCTCTATCAATCTTTCTCTCTATCAATCTTTCTCTCTCACTGTAAACAGAATATACAGGCTGTGGACAGACTGAATGAATGAATGAATTCGAAGATTATTATAGTTAATAATAGTCAGAAATATTATCTTCCTGAAATATTATATATTCCCGTTTAGTATGTCTAGATAATTAAATTTATTATCCTGGATAGTCAACTTGCCGAGCGCTTGCGCAGAAGTTTGGTTACCGATCACACGCAAGAAAAACGGCACTGCCTGTTTCAAATGACGTGAAATTCGTAAACATTCATTTTCTAACAAATTTTTCTCTGTTCACAGGCACTTTTTACAGAATCTGACAACGTACATTTGTCACAAATGTTTTTAATTGTCTGAATTCAAAAGATTTTGTTAATCCATGCAGAAACGCGGTTGCAGGATTGGAAATGCAAAAGTAATGTAATGACAGGCGGCAAGACGTATGTTACAGCCATTTTGCCAGTGGAGGGTAGTACTAGTGGAGGGCAGAAGTATGCAGCAAGCGTAAAGGTTCAGCTGTTAAAATGATTCGCATTACATTGCTATGGTAATTTCAATGCAGCAACCGCGTTTCTGCATAGATAGACAAAATCTTTTCAATTCAGACAATTAAAAACATTTGTGACAAATGCACGTTGCCAGATTTTGTAAAAAGTGCCTGTGAACAGAGGGAAATTTGTTAGAAAATGAATGTTTACCAATTACACGTCATTTAAACCGGTCAGTGCCGTATTTGTTGGGTGATAACTGTTGGTCGCACATTATCGAGAAATTTAAGAGACCATCGAACACCGTTAAAGAGTTTTATATTATTCGAAATTTAAAAGCATTGTCAAGTTTTTTATACTGAATTTCAGATATAGTATTGCTTAAAAAATATTGTTAAAAAATATATAAATCTTACAATTAGCAACATAACCTTTAAACCTGTCAAAAGAATTTAAAAATTTCAAGGGTATCGTTAAATTAATGTATTTTGTTCTTTAAAATTTTCAGATTTTCCATAAACAATTGTTTATCTAGGAAAAATGTTCACTAATTTCTAAAAAAATTAACTTTTATCATTAAATATTTCTTATTGATCAATTTAGATGTGTAGGTATAAACACAGCAACTTGCGTTTATTATCTAGGATAGTCAAATGTGAACATCTTGGATAATGGCAGTTAGTATGTAAGTTTGATTATCCCAAGATACTAAATTTGAATATCTAGATGGTTGTCCTATAGTTGAGTATCCAAGATCATCACCCATGATTATCTAGATAATAAATTTGACTATCCATTTTTCTCCGTGTACTTTTGGAATAATTTAAAAAAATAATTGAGTAAACCGACTGTCCTGATTTTTAGAAATAACATTAAAACTGACGTAAAATTACAGATTTTCTAACCTCTCACCTCTAACCTTATGTTAGCATAATACACAGAATCGTGGCAACCACGAAGTAGTATAAGGAGACTTGACGGGCTGAAAAACATGGCCCCAAAACAAGGCGAAGCCTATCTCAAGTTTTCCGGTGTCCGACTGTTCAGCGCGACCTCCTCGGGAAAATTTACAACTAAGTGGTATATGTGGTTCGCCTGCTACCAATTTCAAATTAAAGAGCGCCCGTTAGAAATGTCAAAGATTGACTTTATTTATTCCAATTTTATAAACGAAATAAATTCTTTGTTTCTTGTCATATGATACCACTTATCAGAAGGTAATTGTGATTTATTAAATTTGATCTTACACTCTTCAAATGTAAGTTTTTCCATCGAATATTCCATGATTCTTTGTTTTTCTTTTTAATAATTAATAATATCTAAAAACAAAAATTATTTATGTATTTCCGTGTCTGTGAAAATCAATTACATAAATATAACCTAAAACAATAAACGTAAATACAGTCAAAAAAACATGATCTCTTTAAAAAATAATGCTGAATATTATTTGTAAAGAAAGTAAGCTTTCATACGTACTGTCAAATAGTCTTATTTTGCTCCCATAATTAAATAATAAGTAATTATTTAAATTATTATTTATGTCATTCAAATGTAAACACTTCACAGTGCTTTAAAAGCAGACGTCACTATTTAGTTGTAAATTTTCCCGAGGAGGTCGCGCGGAACAGTCGAACACCGGAAAACTTGAGATAGGCTTCGCCTTGTTTTGGGGCCATGTTTTTTTGAACTTTACATGGGCGTTAAGTCTCCTTATACTACTTCGTGGTGGCAACGTCGCAATGTAATCATATACGAATGAAATCTTATTTAGTGTTACCAACACTGATTCTAGCATGCATATGGAATGCGCTGTTGTCACGATCTCCATGCTCATAAAATTTTTTTACAAAATTTTTTTTACGTAATTAAATAATTATTTTTTAAAATATTTTTTGAGAATAATGAATTGGAATTATTAAAAATACTATTTTTTATGTCTAATATATTAAGTATTGCATATTTCACTTATAAAATATATATATTAAAACAGTTGGTATTTGCAGTTTTAATCCTATATAAAAGCATGTGAATTCCCCTCTCGCCGCCTGCCCCGAAAAGACAGTCATCATCCTCCTTAATTATCAGTTTCTTCGCAGCAATTAAAATTTTCAAAAATCAAATAATTGAATTCTCGAAGAATTTTTTGAAAATTTAATAAAAAAATTAAGTTAGAGAAGAATTTTAGTTATAAAAATTTTATTAGAAAATAATTAAATTTTGGAAGAGTTATAAATGAATAATTTTACAAAATCTTAAAATTAAAGTTATCTGGATAAGGGGAAAAGTTTAAAAAATATTCGGAAAATCGGGTAAAATTCAAGGGAATATAAAATCAAATTTTTGCAATAACCCTGAAAAAACTAAACGATTTTTTCTCGCGCCTTACAGTCAACCCGAGGCCTCAATCAAAAAATAGAAAAAATTACTTTTGGCAATTTTTTTTTCGACGTTTAGATAGCACATGTTTCTGGTTTAAAAATATGCAGAAGAAGAAGAAGAGGAAGAAGAAGGATTTTAATTATCTCTAACTACGTGGTCGTAAATGTCATTTAAAATTCGTAACGATATAATTATTTTCGAGGAGATGCTCCCCAAAAAGGGCAGGTCGAGTGACAAATAAATGAAAGGACTGATGCTACGCGATAAACATATATGGTGTGTGCAAGCTTGAATCGTATATATAAAGTGAGAATTTATAACAAAACGAGTAACAAAAGAGAGATAGAGAAAGAGAAGGAAGGAAAAAAGTAGCGAAACTTGTGGAAAGTATAGGCATATAATGATAATATTCTGCAGACGGCGGCTAAAATAAAGAGGGAAAATAACGATATTCTCCTATGCGATCCGACAAGCTCATTACTTTTATTATTTTCCCTACGGGCGTTGATATCTCCACATGAGCCGCTTAACAGTACATTGTTAATGCCATTTGCAACTTTCCTGATTAGGCATCGTTTTCATTAATCTTCAATTTTCTCATTATTCATTTACAGTCACTTTAAGTCGTCTGTCATTTTTATCACTCGTCATTAACTATCGCTGTTAATTTCTAATTAATTATATTATATTATAACTTAAAATATTCTTTATAAATTATACCTATTAGATAATGAGTTCCAATTACGTAATTTAATTTCGCTTTGACGATAAATTTCAATTCAAACCCTTATCAAATTTATATTTTCTTTAGAAATCAATTTTATTTGAGTTTATCACGTTACTTATGTAAAATTGTTTAATTTGTAACATTTTATGCATGCAAATAAGGAAGTAAGCTGGTAAGCAAGCAAGTTATTTCCTCCTTGCTTACTTCCTTACCTACTTATTTACTTACTTCTTTGCTTACTTACTTATGTATAATTGTTTACTTAATGGCAGGTCAAAATGTCGTCCCCCTGGAGGCACAAAATAGGAACCAAAGTCTGTAACAATTCTATAACAAAAACGATTTATCATAAATAATACCCAAGCAGAAATTTAATAGTTGCATAGAACAAATAAATGTTTATGAGTATGAATAAAAATATGAATAATTAATAGAATATATTTTTTTGCAATAAGTTTTTAAAAAATATTTTTCTTATTTTCTTTAATAATTTAAACAGACTATCTTATTTATTTAAATTAATGACTAAATTATTATTATCATTGTTAATAATTATTTAAACTTATACTTTATGTAACAATATTCAGAATTATACACAGAACACTTAAAACTAAGAATAAAAAATTTCGCACGCACGGGGGATCGAAACCTAGACCTACACGGAGAAACTTTTTCTTCTAATATTAAATATATTTGGTTATCTTTATTCTAAAAGTACGTTAGAATGTGAGGATTTTTCGTGCGTTGTGCTAATAATTTCAACATTAATACGAAAATATGATAAGTTCGTTATATATTAAGCAACCTTCGGTGTACAAAAATTACTATCTGCATTAGAAATAGTCTTATTTTTCTTTAGAAAAGAATAAGATGCCAGTTTTTGTTTGTGAAATAATACGGTAATTCTAACCTTTTTTCCACATATAGATAGAATATATAACAGACATTCTAACGTAACATACCAATTTTGGAAGGACTGCGGGCGGACTTGACCGATTTCGCCCGAGAATCACCGAGTCCATCACCTGACGTCGCGAACTAACCCTAATGTTTTAAAAGTTGAAATTCACACGTGTATGAAAGAAAAAAACCTTTTATTAATAAACGTGAATGTCTCCTCATGCCAAATTAAATTCAAGAACTGTTCCTCAATATAACATAATTTTTTTCACGACTTTTACTTATTTACATAATTTGATTAGAAAGTTATTTTAAAAAATGCTCTCTCTCGAAGGCACATATTTTTCCACTCGTTTAATATATAAGGACGATTCAGCTGTGTACTTCTAACGAATCGTGCGATCTTTCGGTTTCCGTGACCAATCGTCGTGTCTTTACTTGCGTGTGCGTGTGTGCGTTAATAATATAGGTTAGGTTCTTACGTCGTGTTAAATATATTTACCTACAGTTACAGTGACATACACTAATGCCATCTACCATCAGATCCAAGTATCACTATCGTCTCTATGAGTATCTATAGACAATTAATTTGTTGTGTTTCTTTTTAATTCATGGCTTTCCCAACTTTGCAAAAATTATTATTTTCTTTCTAAAACAACATACTAATTTTCGTTAGTTTCCTTATGAAGAACTGTAAAATATATACTGAATGAGTGTTTTTGATAGTCTCAATAGCAATTTCTATAACCTATGTCGTTTTTCCCTTGAATCTAACCTAACATACTAAAATGTCTCACCAGTTTTAAGAATTAGTGGTATTAAAAGTTTCTCCGTGTAGAGAACACAAGTCGAATACGCATACCGCATAGCCACGCAAGCTTGGAAGTGATTTTACTTCAACTTCCTTTTGAATTGTTGAACCGTTATGTGCAGTGCTAAAATTATGAATTGAAATGTAACATACTTAATAAAAAAATTACTATATATGGGGCATTCCAGGCCAAATCGGAAATTATTTTGCTTTTGCATCTTAAATTTTTTTTAAACATTTTCTTTCTTTTAGTACTCTTTGAAATGAGCTATCTTGAATTTTTTCAAATTTTTTCATAAAGCGGTTCAGGAGATACAGATTTATGAAAAATGACGTTTTTTACGTAAATTTTTTTTTTTAAATGCTTATAACTCGGTCAAAAATTGATCAAATTAGACGTTTTTATAATGAAAAGTTGATGTGGTTAAATAAACTTGAAACTCAATTGTTTAACAAGAAGTGAAAATATATTTGTAAATTCAATTAGAGTATAGAAAGGCGCCTGCAACAAATTAAATTAAACAAAAAATAATACATCGATTAAAAGAAAATAAAAAACAAAAGAATAATTTTTTGGACTTTACCTTTCTATTTCGTAAATATTATTTTGTAGATTATTTAACATTTAGCATTTCTTTAACTTCAATTAAGAGGCACTTTTATTTGATGTTTACTTCGAACAGACTTTCGACAGACTGACGATTTTATTTTGATACAGTGTTAATGCGACTGTCAGTGCCGTGCTAAATTTTCATTTAACGTAATGTAAGAAACAATATTAAATGTTAATTTTAAATATTAATACAAAAATAATTTAATCTTAACAAAAGTTTTGTTTTCACACGTAGTTTTTAATAAAAATATTTTTGAGATGCAAAAGCAAAATAATTTCCGATTTGGCCTGGAATGACCAGAATATATATATATATATACATAAATATATATATATATATATATATATATATAAATATATATATATATATATATATATAAATTTTTTTATTACAAATAATAATATATAATTATGCTACAAACAATAACAAATTTTAATTAATTAGTTAATAATAATAATTTATTATTGTATTTTTATGATATACTCTCTAAATCTGAATCAGCGATAAGTATGCCACTATTTCAATTAGCGTATATGCGCTGTGAATTAGTGAAATTTCACTAAATAATCAGTGAAACTTCACCGATTAATTAGCGCATATACGCTGTTTTAAAATAGTGGCATACTTATCGCTGAGAATCAGTGAAATTTCGCTGATTCAGATTTAGAGAGTACCTATTAATTAATAATTGATAATAAATTAATTAAATATTTGATATTATTGTTGGTGAATAATGTTTTTAAAAATCTTGAAAATTTATGCAAGCTGACAGTGAAAAATTATTTAATTTTTCACGAATCATCGATACGAGTCTTTCTAAGTATCTAAATTCAAAAGATTTTTTGTAATTTATGCAAAAACGCGGCTGCACTCTACACGGAAAGAAAGTTATTATATTAGTTATTATATTAGAAGTATTAAACTTTAATTAAAATTATACTATATTTAGTAAAGTTATATCAAATGTCGAAAACTTTTAACAAATTTTAATATAACTTTACTAAATTTTATATAGGTACGTTTTGTTAAAGTTTCACAGTAAAAAGAAAGTCTTATTTTAAAGCAGGAAAGCAGCCTTAAATTAAGATACAACATTTTTGTATCCTTTAACATTATAGCAGACAGTGCTGAATTTAAGACCGATCTTAAGTTTAGATTTACTGTGTTAGTTTTGTTGATAGCAAAATTTTCCTTTGTCGCGTTTTGTTCTACACTTGTAAAATACTTTTATAAAATTTAATAATAACATCTTTCCGTGTAGTGAAAATAAACACGAGTTTATAGTGAAAAAACAGTTATATTAAATTTTTGTAACAGTGTTCTAGAACACTGTAGGAACAATGTTACTTCAAAATTCTTTAACTAATTTAGAACAAATGTTACATGTCTGTTATAGAACAGATACAGAACAACTGTTCCAGAACAAATTTAGAACAAAGCTCTAGAACTGTTCTATAATAAAATTGTAACACTTATTCTAGAACACTGTTCTTTTTTTGGTATAGAACAGTTATAGTACGTGCACACTGGGAAGTATGTCAGTTTTATATTTTCTTTTTGCATGATTTAAAAACATTTATTACATATTTGACAATTAATAAGTGTTTAAAATAATTAATTAATTGAATTTTAATTTAATTAATAATGAAATGATTATTAATTAATTATATAAATAAGTTGAAAAAGTCAACTATTAGTGTGAAAGTCTTTCATTTGACTGTGGGACACTTAAAATAAAGTATTTCTATCCAGAAAACTAACACTTTAGGCAAGTCAAGAAAGTTTTACCGAACTTATTCCTGGAACGTTATAGTGCCCATCAAGGAGGTATTTATTTAATTTATATTAACTCTTTGCCGTTCATATGTTACGAAATGTCGTCTAGAGTCCTTTTTGGGGGAACAGCCAATGAGAAGATGCGTTTATGCTTGTGTTGATAAGTTAGTTATGTGTGAGTATGTAAGTGTCTAAATTTGCAGGATCGTACCTTCTCAAAATTGGAACCCATTTATATTTTACAATAAATTATATTTAATTATACTAATTGATCACTAAATTACGATTTTTTGTGTAAAGTGCAAATGTATATTTGCAATTTATTACAATTTAAAAATGGTAAATTTGATTGTTAAAGACTTTTATCAAACATAAATATCCTATGTAAACATAACCTCAAAATTAAGCTAACATCCGGCCCTGATATTGTCCACGTGATTCAACTGTCAAACTGCTTGTTTCTGAGGTGGGGAAAACTTATGTACGGCAAAGAGTTAAACGTTAAATTTAAATTTTTTTTGAACTTTTACAGTACTATCTTGTAAGGAATAAATATATCACATTAAATTTTAAATATTGCTACCCGTGCAGAAATCGACACTTTTGTTCCCGATTACCGCCCTGGCCCCGGTCGGGTTTTCATGATCTGGCCCCGACTTCGTGGCCCCGACCAGGACCAGGCCGGGTTTGCCCAAGGATCTACAAACAGCGCACAATGGGATTTTTTTTACAATTTACTGTTCAAAACTGTCTACAGCCTACAATTCTTAACCGGTTTCAGTATTCTTTATTTTAAATTAAAGGCGAATAAATTCTTAAGACATCCCTTAAGGTCAATTTTTTAGTTCTTAATTGTTTATAATTTTTATTTTCAATCAAAGTTAACAAATTAATACAATTTTTCAAAAAAGGAGGCTTATTTTCTTATTCCGTTGCTGCATATGATCTGAATCAGTTCAAATTAATACAATATGACCACCACACAATTAATAAAACAGAAAGTAATTTATATAAATTGTTATAAACAATATTAATTAACAAATAGTTAACTTTGATTTCTTTCCACTAAAAAATGTTTTTTTCACCTTTTCTTTTTAATTTAAGTTTATTTAAAGAATATTTGTTCTTTTTGATTATAAAATAACTTATTTAAATTGTTATAAACAATATTAATTAACAAATAGTTAACATTGATTCCTATTCCACTAAAAAATTTTTTTCAAATT